TATTTCAGAGGAGACTGGTAAACCTTTCAGTTTGAGTGGCCACAGAGATATAGATGCAGATATTAATCTATAATACTCATAATATTAAATTACAGCATGAATATCCTTTTAGAGTTCATTTACATTTGAAAAGGATGTTGCAAAGGCCACTTTCTATTGTTTATTTCATCCTCTCTCTCTCTCATTGTTGCAGGATCATGTCTTTGATTTATTATCTGAGTGCGGCAGAGAGTGGATTTGAAGCAGCTCAGTTTAATGTGGCGTACCTGTGTGAACTCAACTCAGTGAGTCCATTCTAAACAGTTTCTTTAGATTCAGATGAACATATTCACTTCAGTGGCTTTGACAGATGTTTTATATATTGTAGGTCTCTTTGGATCCAGCGCTGGTGACTCAGTGCATGTTAAGATATTATAACATGTCGATACAGGCTCAAGATCCGGCTCCTTACGGTAATTTAACAAATCTAAGACTAAAATATGAATAAAAATGACGTGAAAATGTATTGTATACCTCTTTGTTTTATATCTCTTTGTTGAAGACATTTACAACAAATATAAACCGTAAAGAACTTTTTGGAAAGTATTGTTGTTTATTGTTTGAAAATATACATTTTAGGAATTTGATGGGGGAAAAAATATTTGTTCATTTAATTTTGTTTTAAATTTATTTTTATATAGTTTTTTTATTTATTTATATTTTTTAATGGGGAAAATATTTATATAATTTTGTTTTGTTTGTTTTAATATTTTATTTATTTATTTACATTTTTCATTTATTTTTATTACTTATTTAATTTTATTTCTAGTCCCCACCCCCCCATATTAGGGTCTGTTCATTTATATTTGATCTGAAAAGGCTGACAACCGCTGCAGTAGAATATAAAATGAATGTAATTTAGTGTGGGATACAGAGTGGCAGTCATATATCTTTATATTGAACTGAAATGCTTGTCGTGAAGGGCACCCGAGGTGATGGATTGATGTTTGTTTCCCTCTCAGCTTTGGTCAGAATGGGAGATTTGTTCTATGGTGAACAGGCTTTGGGCAGAAAAGAAGTTTCTGATGCCGCAGAGCTGTACAAGCAAGCAGCTCTCAAGAATGAACCACAGGTACCTGTATCAGCAAATGGACTGAAGTCTAACCTTGAATGATCAGGAGTCATAATTATTTAATAAATTAGTGATTCCAAGTCATTATTTCGAAGAAAAAAAAAAAAAAGTAAACAAGTCATTTTGTTTTGTTTGTTTATACAAGGTATGTTTGTTTATTTAGTTAGTCATTCTAATAAACTATATTTTATTGTTTATTTGTCTTAGTTTGTTAGTTTTTGTTTGTTTATTTGTTCTAACAAGTGATATTTGTTTCTTTTAACAAACATAGTAGTTTATTTGTTCTGAGAAGCTCTTTGTTTTGTTTGTTCCAACAAACTTTTATCTCTTCTAACAAGCTGTTTATTTGTTTGTTCTAAAAGATTTGTTTGTTTTTATTTGCTCCAAGTATTTGTCTTTTTTTATTTGTGATTTTTCTACAAGTGCTATTTGATTTTAACAGCAGTATTTGTTTATTTATTCATTTGTTCTAATGCACAATATTTTTTTTGTTCTAACAGGGTTTTCATTTTATTCAATTTAGTTTTTTTGCTTTTATTATAATTACTATTATTAATTTTTTTTTTTTTTTTTTTAAGTTGCGTTTTGTTTGTTTTTGTTTTTCATTTCACTGAATTCATTTCAGATTTGATTTCTCTCTCCTCAGGGTTGGTATAATCTTGGCCTGCTTGTCCAAAGCGGAGAGTCTCTGCCGTTCAGTGTGCTTTCTGAGCTCAATTTGCTCCACCTTCACTTAACAGACCGACAGACGCTTCTCCGCACCCTGTACCAAAGGTAAGACAACACCACAATCATGAAACATTCAGACTGCCATTATCCATTTCAGATGGCTCAGTTGTACTATTCTAACAATCTATTACAGCATGTGTATATCTTTTCCATAGATGTAGAGAGACCAATAGTACCGATGCCTACCTGCCCTGCACACTGGCACTATTCAGCGCACACCTGCAATCTTTACAACTACATCAGGATACTGCGATAAAGGTCTGTCTATTTTTGTCTTTAAAGTAGAAATATAGATTTTTGGCTGTCTGGACCAAAAGCATAATGTAACATGGACAAATTAATGTAATTATAAAGCAGTCAGTCAGTCAACCACAAAAAAGTAAAATAAAAATAAAAAAACCATCCTGGATGAACTCCTTGTTGTTTAATTTGTTTAATAGTGTATAATTGCATGATCGCCTCATGGGGAAGCTCCCGTGGTTACTGTGTTAACATCATAATGATTCGTCTCTGAGATTGTCTAATGATGAGGGACTAATTTTCACAAGTAGATGTTTCCTCTGTTCCTGTAGCTCATTGCCACAGTTTCGGCTGCAGTCGGAACTCTGACTTTTGTATTTGGACTAATTAAATGGAGGACAACACCACTCCACCAAACATCTCAATCCCAAACATCTGCTTCCAGCCAAACCCAAGAGGAGGAATCCTAAAGAAAACTGCTAGATAACTCTTATTATTATTTATAAACAAGTCTCAATATTCTCTATGTTTTTCCTCCATGCGAAGCACTTGTTTATTCTGCCATTAAGAGATGCAGTATAATAACAAAATGCATTATAACTTGAAATCGAAGCACAATCTGGCATTTAACTATATAGCGACATACATTGCATTTCTATTCTGGTGAACTTAAAGGGATAGTTCACCCAAAAATGAAAATCCTGTTATTTATTCACCAAGTTGTTCCAAACCTGTATGAGTTGAAAACAAAAAGACATTTTGAAGCATGCTGGTAACCAAACAGTTGCTGGTAGCTATTGACTTCCATACTATGGGAAAAGAAATACTATGGAAGTCAGTGGCTGCCGTCAACTGCTGTTACAAAAATTCTTCAAAGCATCTTATTTTTGCTCAACAGAAGACTGAGCTCATACAGGTTTGGAACAACTTGAAGGTGAGCAAAGGATAACAGAACTTTCCTTTTTTGGGGGAACTATGCCTTTAATGAAAATTTTTAAAGCAAAACAACAGACTTATTTATAAATGATACTTTTTCTACAAGTACTTTTTAAAAAAAGTTAAATTTTAAGATTTTTCTTCCTCATGTTTCTCACTTAAAGCATTGACGTTTCAAAAAAATGACAAGTCAAATAAATAGTTCTTCTGAATAAAGTAATATTTTAAAATGTAATTCCCGTTGAACTTGTCGGCTTCTTGTTTCTGACGTGTCATTTCTTCTGAAATGTCAGTTCTGGCTGTACCATTTTGGTGTTTAAAGGCAAACTAATTTTTCCCCCTCTTGGAGGTACGGTGTCCCAGCGGGGCCACTCTGCCTGTGTCTAATGAAAGAGTGCGAGGACTCCCCAGGCTTCTGCGCAGACTGATGCAAACAGCAGGTGTTCAGCAGGCTGTGATGTGCCCACGGCCACACCGGGGCCTCGGGAACACACACCGCAGCTCACGCTTAATTAAAACAACACGAAAAACTGACTAACCCTCAGAGAGAGGGAGTGCACCACACTGTGTCAAGTGTCCAATCGTCAGGGGATGGTAATCTTACTGCGTTTGCATTCAAATAATGTGATGCTTTCTGTGAGACCCCCATTCTGGTGCCTCGTCATGATTTATGCATTTCACTTGGGCTGACTTACAATATACCTAATGTAAAGATCTTTCATTAAATAGTTTTTCTAAATTGTTCAGGGAATATGTTGGACTCGGCACACCGTTCAATCAATGTAATGGCTAAAGAAACAAGTTTTAAAGTCTTCAATCATCGTGAGAAATTGCCTCTGAGCTGTCTTTCTCCCCGGCTGGCTTTTATGTGTAATTGCTGAACTTTAGATAATGTTTATGACTTTAAAAGGCACCAGAGGAGTGTGAGATGTTTGGCACTTTCCAGGAATAGGGTACAAAATAGGGCTTGCGAGTCTTAAATGTAAGTGAAAGGAGGTGCTTAGGCTTTCAAAAATGTTTTTCATCCATCCCAGGAATTTAAACTAAATTATTATTTTGCATTACCAAATGTTGCTTTGCACAGTAGTTATGATGAACTGATCACTTTTTATATAACCATTAACACTAGAATAGAACCAAATAAGAATTTGACGGGAGGGGGGGACTTACGTTTAATGTGTTTAAACATTAATGAGTAATATTTAATAGTCATTTTTTTAGCAAGGATATATTACAATTTTAAAATTGACAGTAAATTATCAAAATTGAAAGTAAAGACCTTTGCAAAATATTTATATTTCATATTCTATTCTTCAAAGAATTTTGAAAAATGCTTCATGGTTTGCTCAAAAATATTAAACCGTTGTCAATAATAATGAGATGTTTCCTGAGTACTATTCTAAATTGTAATAATATTTCACAATATTACTGTTTTTATGGCATTTATTTGATACAAAAATACAGTCTTGGTGAAACTATTTTCCAAAACATAAAATAATTATAATTATAATAATAATAAATTGTATCATTCATGGAAAGTGCTTTTTTGTCATTGATAATAATAATCTAACACATTGTTGTACTCTGTCAAAGTAAAATATTATGTTCTTTTTTTTTGTTTTGATGCTTTCTTTTGGGAAAATAAGTTATTATTTTTTTTTTATTGTGGTAATTTTTATTTAAGGTTATTATGGTTATGATCGTTCACGTTCATGTGAAAATATCCATAACCAAACAGATCACTCAGCAAATATATGAGCGTGTGTGTATCTATTTGGAATCTAAACCTCATTAAATGGATTTATCGGTCTTATGAGGCATTTGAATTTAGATATCAATTATGATACAAATTACATATTAATCAACTATAGTATGTAAAAATGTATATATCAGTAATTCAAAGTGTTATGAATATATATAGAAACTTGTGACTAGGTATTTTTCAGGGAACGGCTGTGTGCTGCGACACTGCAGTGTTTGTTTCTCACACATCAGGAGTGCTAGCAGTCTCAAAAGTAGTCTCTTCTCCTGGGACGGGCTCCGCGGGGCCCTCGGACTCGGGCTCCTCCCCCTCCTCTGAGACCATCCCTCCTGCTTTGATCTTTCCTTCATTCTCGTCCTCCTCCTCCTCCTCCTCCTCTGCGAGATGAGTACTGATGTGCAGATCTGTGTTTTCGCACCCCATGGCCTCGTTCTTATCAAAGTCACGGAAATTGTTCTTTGCGCCCAAGATGTATTTGCCCAGGATGTTGGCCTGGTCCGGCTCACTCTTGCACCGCCAGTGGAGCTTCTGGTGGAACTCCTGCATCTCGGTGTGCAGTTGGCCGACAACTTTATTCAGCTCGTTGATTCTGTTCCCGACGTCTGAGCATCACAACAACAGCAGTTAGTACCGAAAACAATGCAAGGTTCAGAACGGCATACTATCATACTGCTCATACTATTGCTGCAGTGTGAATCAAATGCACATTTTTTCTGTATACAGTGGTGTGAACAAGTGTTGGCCCCCTTCCTGATTCCTTATTTTTTTGCATGTTTGTCTTTTTTTTCACACAGGGCCATGTAGTTTTGGATTTTGTTTTCCCTTAATAATAAAAACCTTCATTTAAAAACTGCATGTTGTGTTCACTTGTTATATTTTACTAATATTTAAATTTGTTTGATGATCTGAAACATTAAAGTGTGACAAACATGCAAAAAAATAAGAAATCAGGAAGGGGGCCAACACTTTTTCACACCACTGTATATGAAACTCCTGGATAACAAACTACATTTACCAGAAAAAAATGTTTTCTCGCTTAAGCTTTCTTTACTCATTATTTTGATTAGACTGGATGTTTTGAGGCATTTTTTTTTTTTTTTACACAAAATTGGATATAAAAAATGCTAATTCTAAGATAAACTGGCATTCAAAAGCTTGGGGTTAGTAAGTTCTTGTATTGTAAGAAGTCTCTTATGCTTCCCAAAGCTGCATTTATTTGATAAAAATAAAGTAAAATTGTGAAATATTGCAGTTTAAATCAGCTGTTTTCAATTGTAGTATTTTTTAAAATGTATTATTTCTGATAAAAAAAGCTGAATTTTCAGTATCATGATCCTTCAGAAATCATTCTAATATGCTGATTTGCGGCTCAAGAAACATTTCATATGAGGTGTACTTTGTTCACATTAATTAACTACATTAGTTAAAATGAACTAACAATGAAAAATATTTCTACAACATTTATTAAATGTAGTTCATGTTAAGTTCAACATTTACTAATGCGTTATTCAAATGATTAACTAACGTTAATAAAGACTAAAAAGCACTGTAAAAATGTTCATTTATTATTTTACATTTTTATATATTTTTAATGCATTAATGCACTTTATAATGCATGTTAATGCATCAACTAATGTTAACAAAATAGCAGTGTTTATTTGAAATCATAAAGACATTTATTATCTTAAAAAAAAAGATTTCTGTCACTTTAATCAATTTATTCCATCCTTGCTGAATAAAAGAGTTAATGTCTTTAAAAAAATCATACTAACCCCAACTTTTGAATGGCAGTGTAACTGCATGTCACTCACTGAGCTGCATATATTGAAATCATGTGACAATGTAGTATACTGCTGTGTGAAGTGTTTACAACATCCTTTCTGTTTCACATATTACTTTAAAAAGAAAAAATGTCTATACTGAACCTGAAGCATGATAGTGTGCCATTCCAAGCATTGATGCTGATCCCAAAAGGGTCATAAGTAACTGTATTAAAACAAGTAAGTAGTCATTTATCAGACACTTTGATCCATTTTAATTTGCAGTACATGTATTATATTCTTTAATTACAGGGACAGTCCCTCTGGAGAAACTTGTGATGAAGTGTCTTGCTAAAAGATCTCCTCTTCTGGGGTTTGAGCCTACAACCTTGTGGTTACCCGCACAGATCTTTGACCTCAAGGTCACAGCTCATTTTAAGGTACATAGTTCGACATAATTAATGTTTAATGCTAAATGTCACTATTAGGTTTTTTATTTTTAAAGGGGTCCTATTATGCTTTTTCGCTTTTTTAAATTTTAGTCAGTGTGTAGTGTGTATGTTTGGGCATAAAAAAGATCTAGAAAGTTACAAATCTCAAAGTCCACTCCAAAGGGAGATGTTTCGTTTTTTAAAAATCCCTTTTAAAGAACTACAACGAACGGCTCGTTTGGACTACAGCGTTGGTTTCCGGGCTTTGTGATATCACAAAGCGGCCCATTAGAATATT